AAGCTAAAGGGGCGAGGCAGGCCAGAGCTTGGCTGCTGGGAGAGGAGGGATATGGACTACGCCCACCTGCCTATCATCCCACACTTGTCTATCAGCTGAAGTGACTCCCCAGAGGCAGAGCTAGGCTGTTGGAGCAGTGTCAGTGCACAAGGAAAGCTTCTCAGTGGACAAGTCTACCCACAGCTCCAGCCCCAACAGAAGGAAGAGGTGGACACCAAACAACCTCGGCCAGCCCGTCGTGGTCACAGCTGGCTCCCCGCAGCACCGAGGCCCACAGCCCCACCCCTGCTGCTCCAGCCCCAGCTCAGCCCCCACCTCACTTTGCCAGTCACTGGAAAGAGCTGAGTACCTACGGCGTCTTCAAAGTGACAGGAAGCTGAAGATGACTGCCGTCAGCAAGATGGAGCTGTATTTTTCTGGTTTTTGTGTTTTGTTATTTTGAGACCGAGTCTTGTTCTGTCACTCAGGCTGGGGTGCAGGGACATGATCTCAGCTCACTGCAACTTCCATCTTGCCATTCAAGCGATTCTCCAGCCTCGGCCTCCCGAGTAGCTGGGATGACAGGTGCACACCACCATGCCTGGCTGATTTTTGTATTTTTAGTAGAGATAGGGTTTCACCATGTTGGCCAGCCTGAACTCCTAACCTCAGGTGATCCGCCCACCTCAGCCTCCCAAGCTGCTCGGATTATAGGCCTGAGTCACTGTGCTTCATTTATCGTGTAAAAGTCCAAGTGGGTTCTCCGGGGTTGACGGAGTCAGGGACTGGGCTCCTTTCTACTCCTGCTGCAGTGGCCTCTGTCCCCAAATCTGCCTCATGGCCCCCGGTGGCTGCACCAGCTTTGGCCATTGTGTCTTTTTTTTTTTTTTGAGACGGAGTTTCTCTCGTTACCCAGGCTGGAGTGCAATGGCGCGATCTCGGCTCACCACAACCTCCGCCTCCTGGGTTCAGGCAATTCTCCTGCCTCAGCCTCCTGAGTAGCTGGGATTACAGGCACGCGCCACCATGCCCAGCTAATTTTTTGTATTTTTAGTAGAGATGGGGTTTCACCATGTTGACCAGGATGGTCTTGATCTCTTGACCTCGTGATCCACCCGCCTCGGCCTCCCACAGGGCCATTCTGTCTTTATGTCATCTGAGGGAGGAAAGGGCAGCTTGCCGCCACTGCTGCTCTCGCTCTGTTGGCCTGAACGAAGTCGTTGGGAGCATCCATTGCCGGGAAGCTCAGGAAGGCAGACTTGCTCTGGGCAGCCATGCGCCCACTCACATTCAGGTGTTTCATAGCTGAGGAAGAAGGACAGCAGGTAGTCTCTGCCTCAGCTGGATTCCAAGCTTGGACCTCCAAAACAAGGGGAGGTGAGCAGACCACACCTTTAGCAGGTCATCCGAGCACCCTGAGGGTAAGGCCTGGCTTGCTGAACCTGGAGTTTTCCTGGGCTGGCTTTCCAAACAGTGACCAGGAAAGGAAGGGAACTGTGTGAGAGCTCGCAGAGGAAGACGCTGTGACAGCACGGGCAAAGGCCACTGTCGGGCAGGCTTGGGTCCCCTCAAATTCCTGTATGAGGCCCTGACCCCCAGGACCTCAGCGTGTCGCTGTATTTGGAGATGGGGCTTTACAGGGGCCATTACGGTAAAATGAGGTCATTGGGGTGGGCCCTAATCCAATGGACTCGTGTCCTCATAAGACGAAATTAGGACACAGACACACAGAGGAACGACCACGTGAGGACACAGGGAGAAGACAGCGTCTGCAGGCCACGGAGAGGGGCCTCGGGACACCAGGCCTGCTCACCCAGGCTGTCTGCTTGCAGCCTCCAGGCGGCTGTTCATACCCCACACTCCATGGCACCTTGTTTTTGTTTTTTTGAGACAGAGTCTTACTCTGTCGCCCCGGCTGGAGTGCAGTGGCACGATCTCAGCTTGTGGGGTCAAGACCTACAGGGTCGTGGGGTGTCCCCATCGCTGTGCTTAGGAGCAGGATCCAAGAAATAAAGACACAGAAGGACAAAGTGCAGCTGTGCTCAGGGGCCTCGCCACCTACAAGGGGAGACAGGCGAGGCCCCAAACATCCAGGAGCATCTATTTATTGGGTACAGGTTAGCGGGCAGGGTAGTGAGTGGGGTCATCTTAAGGACAGTGATAGGGTCAAGGCAATCACGTGAGCAATAAACAAGGGGTCCACCCCCATTAGGTCACCTAGGCTAGGAAGTGGGCAGTGCGCAGCAAGGGGTCCACCCCCATTGGGTCTCCGAGGCAAGGAGGTGGGCCGTGCGCAGTGAAGGGGGTGCAGTGTGCAACACTTCTTATCTAGGGGCAGGCTGCTTCTAAGGAATTCTATCGGAGGATGCTTTTGAATCAGCACAGCAAAGAGCTGTCAGGGTCTCCAGCCACCTGCTGGCAGCTTCCAATGATTCTATACAAGGATGCCTTGAATCAGTACGTAGCAGCAGGGCTGACAAGGTATACAGCCACCTAGGCTCGATTACACTGGAGGGGTTTTAAGCCCTCTGATGCCCGCAGGCTTGCCGGCCTGAGGCCAGCCTTCCACAAGAACCGGACGCAAGGTACTGCAACTCCTTTTCAGGAGGAGTGACTTGCTCCAAGCCTGTCATACAGCGGGTATCTTTATGATACTGAACGCTGCCGCCTGGGCCAGCCTGCTATGTAGCGCATGCCCTTTCAGGCAGAGGCACTACCGCCTGGGCCACAGATTCTTGTCCTGGTATAACTGTTTTTCCCTTAAATCTTGCTCTGTACCGTGTCTGCTCTAGACATTCCTCTGACTATAAACTAACATATAACTGAGTAGTAAGATATTCCTCAGGCACTCATTGTTCTGACTATAGATTAACATATGATTATATATAAAGGGTTATATATACAAGGAGATAACTGAGTAGTAACACTATAAACTAGGATATTCTTCAGGCACTAATTGTTCCGGGGGTCTGCTTAGCTCTCCTTCCTCGGTGCCCAGAAGGGGGTTTACCCACCTGGCTCACTGCAACCTCTACCTCCTGGGTTCAAGCAGTTCTCCCTCTGCTTCCCAAGTAGCTGGGACTACAGGCACCCACCATCACACCCGGCTAATTTTCCTATTTTTAGTAGAAACAGGATTTCTCCATATTGACCAGACTGGTCTCAAACTCCTGACCTCTGGTGATCCACCCACCTCAGCCTCCCAAAGTGCAAGGGTTACAGGTGTGAGCCACTGTGCCCAGCTACTGCACCTTGTTATGGCCACCTGAGCCTACTAAGGCAAGGCTGGGAAAAGGTACCCCATCATCTCATGCATACCCCACAGAGTTCCAGGCTGCTTGGTGCTCCAGGCACTTCTCTCTTAAGGGAAGGGCAGAGGGGGTGCAGAGATGGGAACTAATCCCTTCTGACACATGAACCCAAGACCCAGTAATTCCCAAAGGAAAGTGGGGGCAAAGCAGGGCGGGCTCCAGGCAGCATGGCCAAGGTCAGGGACAGAAGTCAGAAGAGATAAGGCTGGGGTGTCCCAAGAGCCGGGTCACCCGGGGCATGGAGTCTGGACTTGGGGCTAGAGGTAGGGGTGCAGATGGAGGTCCCGTAAGGCAGGAACAGAATAAACTTTAGGAGGCTCACCCAGCTGCTTTGTGGAGGACAGACGGGGGCATGGGAGGGGCTGGGGAGGGAACCTGGTGCAGGTGCGGGGTGCTGGTGCTGCCGACCCATCACAAACCTCCCCCTCAAAGAAAGCGGCACATGCGCCCAGCAGAGCTAAGTCTCGGGCAGCTGCCAGGAGACTCGTTTCAATTAGGACACAGGTCCAGAAGCCGCCCCAAGGTGGCTGGGGGCAGAGTGGGGCAGGGAGGCCCTGCAATTCCGGGGTTGCCCAGGCGGTGAGAACCCTGGCTCTCCTCATAATGCACTGAGGTTCTGGGGATGGTCTGAGTGGCAGCTCTGAGCAAGGCGAGCCCAGGGAGGCTTTGAGGTACACAGAGTCACTGGGGGCAGCCATGAGGAGGCACAGCGAGACAGAAGTGGAGGAGCAGACCCAGGAGCTGAAGACTATCACTCGGCTCCAGGGTGAGCCTGCCTGCCGTGCCCGCCTGGGGCTCGGGGTTTGAGGGCGCACAACTTTCATGGGTTAGTTTGTTTTGAGATGGAGTCTCACTCTGTCACAGGTTGGAGTGCAGTGGCACAATCTCGCCGCTGCAACCTTCATGTCCCAGGTTCAAGCGATTCTCCTGCCTCAGCCTCCCTAGTAGCTGGGACATCAGGTGTGCGCCACCACATCCCACTAATTTTTGTATTTTTATTATTATTTTTAGATGGAGTCTCGCTCTGTCACCCAGGTGGAGTGTAGTGGTGTAATCTCAGCTTACTGCAACCTCTACCTCCCGGGTTCAAATGATTCTCCTATCTCAGCCTCCCAAGTAGCTGGGACTACAGGCATGTGCCACCATGCCCAGCTAGTTTTGTATTTTTAGTAAAGACAAGGTTTCAGGCTGTTGGCCAGGCTGGTCTCAAACTCCTGACCTCAGGTGATCCGCCCATCTTGGCTTCCCAAAATGTTGGGATTACAGGCGTGAGCCCTGTACCTGTCCACTGAGAGCCCTTCAGACAGCCGCTGCTGGGCAGTGGAGTGGTGTCCCCCAGGACAGGGCGGGAAGAGGGATCTCGGCCATGGAGGTGGCATCCCCCCAGACCCAGAGCCTCCTAATTCAAGCCTCCCCTGGAGGATTCCAGGTCAGGCCCTTGGCCCAATCCTGGCCACTCTGACCCCTCCACCTGCCCACAGAGCAGTGTCGGGCCCTTCAGATCCAGGGGCTGAAAGAGAGTATGAACCAGAACAAGGCCACGCTGGCACTCCTGCACAGCAAGATCCGCCGCGGGGCCCAGGACTGGGCTTTGGCCAAGAAGGTGCACAAACCCCGCTCCTCTCGGCAGCCTGGGGAGCAGAGGACACACAGGGAGAGGGCGGGCACCTCTTCTCCACCCCCACCCCGACCTTCCTGGAGCCAGGGGGCATGTGAGGAGGGGCTCTGCTAGAACCTGTGTCCAGCACTCCAGTCACCCCAGCATCTGGTGGGCAGGTACCCCAGAGGGCTTGGCATCTGTGACCCCACATCCTGCAGCAGGGCCTCTCTGGCTCTCCAGCCAGCTAGGGGAAACCTGGGCCCTCCTCTGCATGCCCACCCTCCCCTAACCCCGTCGCATCCGAGCTTGGGTGGCCAGGATGGGGTCCCGCGGCGCTCTGCTCCTCATGGGAGCAGGGGATCTCACTGCTGGGCTCGCACGGGATACAAGAGGCCCTGGGGGGAATGCCTGGAGGGCCCGCCTCAGCTCAGCCGCCACTGCTCTGCAGTATGACCAGTGGACCATCTCCAAGGCCTGCGGGAAAAACGTGCCCTTGCGGCTGGCGCACTGCCGCAGCACCATGGAGGTAACCAGGCACGTGGGGCCTCGAGACCCAACCCTGCCCTCCCTGCCAGCGCACCCCGCCACTAGATGTTGCCGAGCGGATGAGGGACGGAGCAGGTGCCCAGCCCCAGGGTCCCTGTGGGGTTGCCACGAGCCTCCACCCGCCTACTGCTGGCGGGCTCCGTGGCGGCCCCCTGCGCACCCACGCGCGGTTGGTGCCCTTCCCGACCCAGGTGGCGCAGGAGAAGCTGCGCAAGTACGTCTTCGACCGTGTGAACGCGCACAACCTGCTGATCCACCTGGTGCGGCGGCGCGGGGAGAAGTTGGAGAGCATGCATCTGGAGCTGGCCAGCCTGCGGAGCCAGCCGGACGCCAGCAAGGAGGAGCGGCGGCTGCTGCAGGTGGGAGGACGGGGCGGGGCCCCGGGGCAGGGCTCGCGGGAGGGGCGGCCTGGGAGAGCACGACCCCCTCCGAAGAAAGCCCAGGCCCGACGCCCTCTGGGCGGCTGGTCCCCAAGCGCCCTCAGCGCGCCCTCGGTTCGCCCCAGATCATCCGCCAGCTGGAGAACAACATCGAGAAGACAATGAACAAGATCACCACCAGCCAGAACATCCACCTGCTGTACTTGGACCTGCTGGATTACCTGAAGAAAGTGAGCTCAGCGGCCCGGGAGGGGCGGGTCCGGGGCTGGGAGCTGGGAGGGCCGGAAGCCTCCTGGGTTCTGCTTGAGCACCGGCTATGTAGGACGTTGAAGCATGAGGAAAATGTTTTTTAAAACTTCATTTTTGGGCTGGGCGCGGTGGCTCACGCTTGTAATCCCAGCGCTTTGGGAGGCCGAGGCAGGTGGATCACGAGTCCACCTGGCCCAGATGGTATAATCTCGTCACTAGTAAAAATACAAAAATAAGCCGGGTGTGGTGGTGTGTGCCCTTAGTCCCAGCTGCTCAGGAGGCTGAGGCAGAGAATTGCTTGAACCTGGGAGGGGGAGGTGGAGGCTGCAGTGGGCGGAGATCGTGCCATTGCACTCCAACCTGGGTGACAGAGCGAGACTCCATCTCAAAAAAACCCAAAAACTTCATTTTCGGCTATTTCAAAAAAGCACATCGTGGGGGTGTATCAGAATTCTTTGGACTTTCTTGCACATAGTAAATGATTTAGTGTATTTTGCCCATCATCTTCTGATTGCCTGGACCTCTGACAGTCAGAGACAGGTCCTGCACCCTCAGGAAGTCCTCGCACTTTTGGGGGTTGCCCGTGCCTGTAAGCAGGGCTTGCTGCCATCCCAGCCAGCCCACCCGCCCGGTTCACTGTAGACGAGCCCAGCGGTTCAACTGTGAGGCAGGCCCCCTTCACGGAGGCTGAGCACTACCCCTCAGCCGTCCACAAAGCAGGAGCTGCTCCAGGTGCACTATAGGTGTGGAGGGAGAGTGCTTTAGGTGCGCTAAGAGAGCACATGGGAACGTGAGCATGTCTGTGAGCGTATGTGAGAGCACGTATGTGAGCACGTGTGAACGTGAGCACGTGTGCGCATATCTGTGAGCACGTGAGCATGCGTGAGCACGAGTGCGTGAGCACGTGTTTGTGAGAACACGTGTGAGCATGTATGTGAGCGTGTGAGAGCCCATGTGTGGATGGAGCACAGAGTCAGCTGGAAAGTGGGGCAGAGGAAACTCCCAGACACCCTCACCCTAAGACTGGGCGAAGGGGCGCTCTGGAGATCCATGCTTCAGGAAGGTGACAGCATGGAAGTGCAGTTTAGGGGGAGGGTGGGGGGTGGGGTGGCTCCCAGCTCCGTCCTCCTGCTTGTCCCTCTTGCTTTGGCCCCTGGTCCTGTTGGCTCACCTGGAAACCCTGCCCCTCTTTCCTTCCGGGGCCCACCCCTCCCCACACCCCGTCCACGCCCCTCCTTCTGCTGGTGCTTTCTGTACCCCGGCATCACCTTCCTCTGTTTAGAACATACACACTTAAAAAACAGTAATTCCCGGCCTGGGCATGGGGACTCATGCCTGTAACCCCAGCACTTTGGGAGGACAAGGTGGGTGATCACTTGAGGTCGGGAGTTTGAGACCAGCCTAACCAACATGGTGAAACCCCATAAAAATACAACTTAGCTGGGCGTGGTGGTGTGTGCCTGCAATCCCAGCTATTCTGGAGGCTGAGCCATGAGAATCCCTTGAACCCAGGAGGCAGAGGTTGCAGCAAGCCGAGATCTTGCCATTCCACTCCATCCTGGGTGATAGAGTAAGAATCAGTCTCAGAAAAAAAACAAAAAAACCCCAGTAATTCCCACAGTCATCCATATTTTTAAAAAATAGTTTTAGGCCTGGTGTGGTGGCTCACACCTGTAATCCCAGCACTTTGGGGGGGTCAAGGTGGATGGATCACCTGAGGTCAGGAATTGGACCCCAGCATGGCCAATGTAATAAAATCCTATCTCTACTAAAAATACAAAAATTAGCCAGGCATGGTGGTGTGTGCCTGTAATCCCAGCTACTTAGGAGGCTGAGGCATGGGAATTGCTTTAACCGGGAGACAGAGGTTGCAGCAGCAAACTGAGATTGCACCACTGCACTCCAGCCTGGGCAAGAGAAACTCCGTCTCAAAAAAAAAAAAAAAAAAAAAGATTCTGTATTTATTGCTATGAAAAACAAAATACTAACAGCAAAGCTATCCTGAACACGATGAACCTGGTTCTGGGCTACATACTTTCTATTTTATACTCTCAATTCATCCTGACAGCAACCTTCTGAAGAGCCATTATCGCCCTCTTACAGAAGGGGACACTCAGAGAGGTTAAATAACATTAATGTCACACAGCCAAGCTAGCTGGTCAGCAGCAGCCTTGGCCTTGAATCCCGACTCACTGACCCCAAGCCCATGTCCTGACCCCTCTGCTTCACTTCAGAGCAAAGCTGCTCCCAAACGTCCCGGGTTTCAGAATCAGCTTTCTCCATGGCATATCATTTAGGCCCAGCCTCCTTCTGTGTCTCTGGGTTGCTGGGCCCCGGGTGGTGGGAGTCCACCAGGCCAGCACCGTCCACTCCCCATGAAACACTTCCTTTCATCCGTTTTATGCCTGGCAGGGGTGCTGGGGCCACAGAGCAGAAACGAAACTCTCCTCAGGGGTCTGAGTCTGGGGGTGACGGCCCCACTCTGTAGGGGCCACAAGAGAGCCTCACTCAACACAGGTGCTGGCTGGATACCCCACCGAGCTGGACAAGCTGCAGAACCTGGCGGTCACCTACTGCTCGGAGCTGTCAGATATGAAGAACATGTCCCAAGACGCCATGATGATCACAGATGAGGTTAAGGTGGGCTGGGGGCCCTCCAGGGCTGGCTCTCTCAGATCTTCCTGGCCAGGGTCCCTCAGGAGACCCCCACGCCCACAATGCCTACAATCCCTGGCAGGATCCAGTGGCCAGCCCTGCCAGCCTGTGCTGCTCGCCCGCTGGACAGAGCAGGTCCCGTCAGGCCAAGGAGCCATGAAGTGGAGGAGGCAGAGAATCGGCCAGGGCAGAGCAGGGGTCCCCGCTCACCCAGTCTGTATCCCCCAAGGCCCCTGCCAGGCTCTGGGGATACAGCAGGGACCAGGACAGGCAGGCCCGGCCCTGCTGAAGTGGGTGGCACTCATCCAAGTCCGTGAAGAAATGTCACACAGCCCCAGGGCCAGCCTGGCAGAGAGAGGTGGGCGGCAGGTGGCTTTCCAGGGAGGCAGTGCTTGAGCTGGGCTCAGGGAGTGGACCTGCAAAGGTGGAGGTGCTGGGACTGGGGAGGAGGAGGTGAATTCCCGGCCAGGAGGGGCGTGGCGCACAGAGCAGCGTGTGGCCACGGCAGCGGAGTCTGCTGGGCCGGGAGCTACGCACTGACCTGAAGCCCTGGGAGGAGGTGGAGGGAAGATGTGACCAGGTCTGTGCTTCAGAAAGGGTGCAATCAGACTGCAGGCACTGGAAGGTGCCAGGGCAGAGGCACTGATCACCTGGGCAGGCCGGGGCAAGGGTTGGCCAGGAGCAACGGAACCGAGACGTTCTCAAGAGGCAACCTCATTAAGCTCTGGCAGCGGGAGTGGCAAGGGTGAGGGCAGGCTCTGGGTGCGTGAGCAGCGGTGGGCAGAGGATGGTTTTAGCTACCCAAGGGCATGCTGGAAGAGGCCAGGTTTTGGGGAGGATGACTCTGTTTTCAGGCAGGCTCAATCTACTTTTGTGAGTTTTCCACAGACCTGGCTAGGAGGCAGCTGGGGGCCAGGGGCTGAAGGGCAGTGGAACATCTGGGCTGGCACGTGCTCCAAGAGGCATGGGCAAGCAGGGCCCTAAGCGGAGGCAGCCATGGGCAGGGGCACGGGTGGTTTAGGAAGACAGTGTGGCTGGTGGCGGGGATGCATTTTCCAAGTCTAGTAAGGTGAGGATGGCCAACCGGCTGCTGGCTTCAGTGCCATGAGGGCCCTTGTTGAGACAGTCACTGACCCCTGCCCACCCCCTGTCCCCAGAGGAACATGAGACAAAAGCAGGTGTCCTTCATCGAGGAGCGCAGGGCCAGGGAGAACTGGCTCAACCAGCAGAGGAAGCTGATCGACAAGATCCACACGAAGGAGACCAGTGAGAAGTACCGGCGGGTGAGCCCCAGGCCCGGGCCCCACAGCAGCGGGGTGGACAGGCTGAGGGCCGAGGTTCCCACGACAGCTGGGTGGACAGGCTGAGGGCCGAGGTTCCCACGACAGCTGGGTGGACAGGCTGAGGGCCGAGGTTCCCACGACAGCTGGGTGGACAGGCTGAGGGCCGGGGTTCCCACGACAGCTAGGTGGACGCAGGCTGAGGGCCGGGGTTCCCACGACAGCTGAGTGGACGCAGGCTCAGGGCCGGGGTTCCCACGACAGCTGGGTGGATGCAGGCTGAGGGCCGGGGTTCCCACGACAGCTGGGTGTACGCAGGCTGAGGGCCGGGGTTCCCACGACAGCTGGGTGGACAGGCTCAGGGCCGGGGTTCCCACGACAGCTGGGTGGACAGGCTCAGGGCCACCACTCGGGCCCACTCCCTGCAAAGGATGTCTCATCCCCCTCCTCAACCCCCACCTCCCATCAGGGCCAGATGGACTTGGACTTCCCCTCGAATCTGATGAGCATGGAGATCCTGAAATGTAAGTGCTCAGCTCTCCACCTGCACCTCCTGCAGCCAGGGTCCCAAGGAGAGGCTGGCACTGGGCCAGCGGGTCAGGTCACCCTGGGGCCAGGTGTGGCATGCGGTCACTGGGAAAAGGGAAGGACGAGTCCCGCCTCTCCCTGCAGAGGCTGACAGCCTGCAGCCAAATGTGGCCTCAGAGATCCTGGCCCCAGCACCCCAGGGCTCCATACCCAAGGGCCCAATCCCAGTGGCTGCAGAGGATGGGCACCACCTTTGAGAAGCACTGCTGAGCGCACCATGCCACATGGCTCCCCATCTGCCCCTGCTCTGGGGCTGCCGGGACGTCCCTACAGGGCCAGGCTGAGGGGGAGTAGGTACAGAGGTGTCCAGTGGCCTTACACAGAGCCCATGAGCCAGCCCTGCATGCTGACTGCCCCTCCCCTCTGCTCTGCCAGTGAGGAGAAAGGAGACCTCCACGGCAGACATGGAATACCAGACGCTCGTGACTGCGATGGTGGAGAAGGTCAAGAGCGCTGTGCGATGCTCTCACATCTGGGTAATGCTCCCTGGTGTTCGCAGAGCACGTCAGGAGGGTGGCTGAGCGGGGATGGGGTCTGCTGGCGCTCTGGCATGGACATGCAAAGTGGCAGCTCCCTGGGCCTTGCAAACCCTTTCTCTTATTCCCATCTGGGTTTATGTAGATCTGCCTCTCTATCTCTACATACATACTTTTTTTTTTTTTTTGAGATGGAGTCTTGCTTTGTTGCTCAGATTGGAATGCAATGGCGGTATCTCTGCTCACTGCAACCTCTGCCTCCTGGGTTCAAGCCATTCTCCTGCCTCAGCCTCCCAGGTAGCTGGGACTACAGGCGTGCATCAACATGCCCGGCTAATTTTTTTGTATTTTTAGTAGAGATGGAGTTTCACCATGCTGGTCAGGCTGGTCTGGAACTCCTGACCTCAAGTGATCCACCCGCCTCAGCCTCCCAAAGTGCTGGGATTACAGACATGAGCCACTGCACTCGGCCCTGGGTTTATCATAACTAGGCCTTGAGCTCCCATCCACTGCCCTGACAAGCTTGTCTACTGTCAGACAAGGGACTCAAAATGACACAGTGTCCCTCAGTGATGGTCTCCTTATCTCTAAATGGGGTTATCTACCCTTTCTGCCTGCCGTGAGGGTCGTATGCAATGACACCCACCAAGCGCTTCACCCCTGCTGAGCATGGTGGCGCACACCTGCGGTCCCAGCTACTCAGGAGACTGAAGTGGGAGGACTGCCCGAGTCTGGGAGGTTGAGGTTGCAATGAGCTGTGGACGCACTTGTTAATGAGTGCAGAGAATGTGCCCTAGCCTCTGGGAGGGGCCCAGTAGAAACCAGTTCTGTGAAGCCCCCTGTGCCTACCTTCCTGGCCCACACCTGCTTCTCCCTGCCCCGACCTGGCCAGGACATTGCTGGCCGCTTCCTGGCCCAGAGGAACACAGAGGAGAACCTGGAGCTGCAGCTGGAGGACTGCGAGGAGCGGCGCCTGCAGCTGAAGGGCCTGCTGAAGCAGCTGGAGCTGGAGGAGGCTGTGCTCAAGTTCCACCAGAGGCCCAGCTCCATCAGGTGCTCCCGGCTTCCGGGGCTGCGGGCCACCCACCAGGGTCCCACGAAGGCCCCTGGGCTGCAGCCAGGCTGGGAGCTGGGAGTGTACCCACTGCTAACAAGCCTGTGTGTCCCACAGAGGGGCTGGGGACTCCACCTGCCCACACCTGAGCTTCTGAGTCCCAGACTTTAGCACAGCACCCAACTCAGGACCGGGCTCCTGGGTGGCCTTCGGGCCTGTGCCCCTCACTGCTGTGTCCCTGTTGCCCTCTGCAGCTTCAAGGCCCTTGAGAAGAAGATGACAGACATGTTGAAAGAGGAAGAAGAGAGGCTGCAGCACATGCACAGCAACACGACCAAGGGCCAGAAGCTGCTGCTGACCATCCAGATGGGCGTGGACAACCTCTATGCCCGGCTGATGGGCATCCCCTTGCCCTCCGCCCAGGTGCCGGGAGTGGGGCGGAGCTGCCGTACACAGGGTCCCTGGGCAGGGCCACAGGGGTGATGAGACCCTCCTACCCACCTGCAGAGAGAAGTGGTGCCCTCCGACACCCTGGATTTGTACAGCAAGCTGGCGTACTGCGAGGGGAAGCTCACGTACCTGGCTGACAAAGTGCAGACGGTGTCCAGGACGGAGGAGGTAGCCCCGGGCTGGGAGGAACCTGCACAGCCCACGCCCCCTCAAAGCTGACAGCGCCCGGTTCAGTGTGTGCACGGTTGAAGGGGGCTCTGTCCCGCAGGCCAACACGAAGGTGAAGGACGTCCTGGAGTCCTCGACTCTGAAGGAGAAATACAACACCAGGATCAGCTTCGAGGACCGGGAGGAGGACATGATCGGTACGAGCCTCGGGTGGCTGGGGCGAGACCCTGGCTCCCCTCCCACCAGGACACCGGGAGGGACAGCAGGGCTACAGGGCGCGTCCGTTGTACCTGCGGGACTTTGATGGATGGAGGAGACTCAGTGATGCCCTGGGAGGAGGACGAAGCCACTGCAATAACTTATACTTCGTTTCTCCGAAAGGAGGGCGTGCCACGGCAGACAGGCCGGCGGGAGCGGGGAGGAGCGCGGGGAAGGCCTGGGCCGGAGCCTCCGCGGGAAGGACGAGGCAGGGCAGCGCCAGCAGCTGAGGAGGGGCTGTCCCCGGCGCAGGGCGCCCGGCCCGGGTCGGAGGGCGGCGTGAGAGGCGGGCCGGGCCCCGGGAAGCGCGTGCGAGCCGCCGCCTCCGCCCGCAGACACCTTCCAGTTCGCGGACGTGGACCACAGCTACGTCCCGTCGCGCGCCGAGATCAAGAGGCGGGCGCAGCGGCTGATCGAGGGGAAGCTCAAGGCGGCGAGGAAGAAGAAGAAGTAGCCCCGCCCGGCCCGCTCCCCACTTTGTTACACAAATAAACACTTTCCAGGACGCTGCGGGCGCTGGGGCGGCAGGGGTCTCGGGGGGCAGCTCGGGGGGCAGCCCGGGGCGCGCAGGCGCGGGAAGCTCGGCGGAGCAGACTGCCGGGCCGGGAACTGCGCGCCACAACCGCCCGCGCATGCGCCGACCGCGCGCGCCGCGGCCCGTGGCCCTCGCGGCGCCCCGTAGCCTCGCGCCCCCCGCGTCCCGCAGAGCCGGCGCCAAGATGGCGGCGCTGACGCCTGGAGAGCGGCCGTGCCTGAGGCCGCGGGGGCCGGAGCGGAGCCGCCGCGGCTGAGGTTCCCGAGCCGCCGCTCGAGGCCGCGCTCCACCGCCGGGACCCCGGCCTCTGGCCGTGCCGGCTCCGGCCTCCAGGGAGGCCGGGGCCGCCGGGACATGGTGCGAGTCGCGCCGCTTCCCCGCCGCCGCTGAGCTTGCCGGCCGCACCCGGGCTGGGACGTCCGAGCGGGAAGATGTTTTCCGCCCTGAAGAAGCTGGTGGGGTCGGAGCAGGCCCCGGGCCGGGACAAGAACATTCCCGCCGGGCTGCAGTCCATGAACCAGGCGTTACAGAGGCGCTTCGCCAAGGGGGTGCAGTACAACAGTGAGTGTGGCGGGGACGGGGACGCGGGGGCGGGGGCGGGGACGGGGACGGGGACGCGGGGGCGGGGGGGGGGGGCGGGGGCGGGGGCGGGGGCCGGGGGCGGGGGCGCGGGGCGGGGGGCGGGGGCGGGGGGGGGGGGGGGGGCGGCTCGCGGGTCTCCCAGCCCAGGCCCTGCCCCGGGTGCCGCGCGGTGGGCGTCGATCTCGCATGCCCGCCCGTTGTGGGATGCGCTGGGCCCGCCGGACGCTCCGGGAGCGGGGGCGCGGCCCAGGGGACGGGTGGAGAGGCCGGGCCGGGCCGGGGCCGGGTCCTCGCGGCCGCTGAACCGCGAATCGTTTCCCAGCCGCGCGCGCCTGCTCGTGTCGCTCCCGCCGCGCTGTGCAGTGGAGCGGGTCGGCGGCGCCGGGATTGGCCCGGCTGCCCGGCTCGGGGTGATTACATAACGCCGGGCACAGCCCGCCGGCCCGGGGCGCCGCGTCCCCGACACTCCACGGTGGCGAGCCCCGGGCACCGTTCACCTAGAGGTGGGGCGGGGAACCCAGCCGGCCCTAGCGCTTTCAGCCGGGATTTTTCTTTGTTGACTTCCTATTGAGTTTGAAGACGGAATATCAGCTACGCCACACGTTCTCGCCTTTTTGTTTTTTCAAAGAAGCATTTGTAAAGGACGTATTTAGAAAAACTCCAGAAGGCACGGGCCCACTTGCGATTGTGGGGACATCGCATTCCCCCTGGGAAGGAGGAGTCATTTACAGACTCCTGAGCGCCTGGGACGTTCCCTTCCTTTGTTATAAATTATGTAAATTGTCCTCTTGACCTCTTTTGAGTTTTTCCATTTTGCGGGCTCTTCCCTGGTAGTCTTTAAACGCTCTTCTGTGGTTCCCTGCGTTGACATTGCTTCTTTTAGCCATTTCCCTGTATTTCTGTGAGATTTCAGGATCCTACGCCTCTTCAGTTTCCCCACTTTAAGGGGAGCCTTATAGTCTCCACGATATTTCCATAGTAATGTAGGATTTTAATAACTAATGATCAGAAAGACTCTTATGCAGGTTTAAAATCAAGTTCATGAATGCGCCTGCTGTGTCCACGGAGACAGCGGTCGTGCCTGCGGCTGGAGTTAGTCCAGGAGGACTGTGAGGAGATCGGCTTCCTTAGTCCCGGCCACTGACCGGCCTCTGAGCAAAAGGAAGCTTCAGACCCCCCGGGCCGCCCTCACGCTTCAGCAGGAAACTAGATAAAACAGCGTAAAGATCAACCTTAGCATCTAGGTGTGAAAGTTGGTGTCCAAAGCAGGGTCTGTACTGGCCTTTCTTATAACGAAGACAGAGATTTCGACGAAGTTCACGTTGGAGTGCTCATCGAAAAGAAAGCACGGCTAACCACGTTGAGGAACAGAAGTGGATTATGTTGAGGACAAATTATCTATTCAGTTTGTGTTCAGTAACCCAAACATCAAAGGAACTTGAGGCTGTGGAGAAAGCTTTACTATTTTAAATCTCAGGACTCCTCTGGCCAGGAGCTCCTGGAAATCCTATAGCAGCCCTGGAGCGCACTGAAGAAGTCATGACTGTAACGTGCTTCATGTGTGGCTCTGGTAAGGAAAATAAAGCTGTGCATTTTGAATAAAAATAAAAGCAAGCTCATTTTAAATGTGTTATACTCGAAATTTTATACTTATCTGATATTCAGAGAAGAGAGTGTTGAGTCAGAATACTCAGTTTACACAAATTTTTAGACTTTGCATTTGGATCCCTTATTTAATTTTATTGCTTACAGTATTGGCAAATGTTATAAGTAAAATTTCGATGCCACAAAAGAAATAGCACTTGAAGATAAATCCTCTCAGCAAGGCAGTTTGCATCTATAGAAGGGTGCAGCCCACAGGTGGAGCAATGGAGGCCACACGGTTGGACAAGCAGGGTAGGACTACTTATGCCTGACGGGGTCGTCCCTGCTGCTGTGTTGTTCCCCTGTTGGCTAGGGTTAGACCGCACAAGCTAGACTAATCCCAAGGGGCTGTTTTAAAGAGAGCAGGGGTCCCAGCTGGAGGGGCAGGGTGGGTGTTTTGGCGGGAAGGACGGTTACCAGCAGGTCAGAGCAGATAGCCAGGGGTGACCTAGGTCAAAGAAGGTGACTGGAGCAGGTGACTGGGATGAGTCAGGATGTGGGGGGATTGGGGAGAAGATGTGAAGTACTGATTAGAACTGGTAGAGAAGGTTGTTACTGGAATTACAAGGAAGTTAAACTTTAAGATAGAGAATTAAAAAATAAGAGAGCTGAACATACATACTCTTTGAAGAGAAACTTGGGTTCACTATATCTAACACTAAGCTCAATGTTAGTGATATTAGGGCCTCTAGGGAATCGGGCCTGGAACTGGAAACTGCATCTTCTGAAAAGGCTCCCTGAGGAGTCCACACCTGCGTGTCCTGACCAAGTGTGACTAAAAAGGGCAGTGGGGTCCTTGAGAGGAGAAAAGCCAGCTTCTAGGAGTTGGAGAGCAGGTTATGATCACCTAGGACTGAATGAAAGGGGGTGAGACTGAGACATTTGAATTTGAACCTAAATCACAGTTTAGAAATGTTTCTTTATAGTTGAATAATATACAATTTTAAAACTTTTTGACTTTCTGTGTTAGAAACTTTCTAGTATTTACTTTCTCAACTATTTTACTGAGGGTAACAGACCAGCAGTATGATGAAGACAGAGGGGGGGTTTTTAGAGGTGAAAGTTTCCGTGAACTGCTGCTGGTTTCCAGGAGCCTGGGCTGCCCGCCTGGGTCGTGTGTTTACAAGAAGTCACTAGCGGCCCTGGCAGAGTCCCAGGACCCCCACGGATTTAGAATCTAAAGTTGAATGAGACATTGAACCACAGTTGATGAAAAAAGTCAGACTCTGGAATATTTGAAGAGATTTATTTTTGAGCCAAATATGAGTGACTATGGCCTATGACACAGCCCTCAGGTGACCCTGAGACCATGTGCCCAAGGTGGTCAGGGCACAGCTTGATTTTATACATTTTAGACAGACATGAGGCATTAATCAAATGCATTTAGGATATACGTTGGTTTGGTCCAGAAAGGCAGGACAACTTGAAGTGGGAGCTTCCAGGTCAGAGGTAGGTTTCAAAAAAATTTTTTTTTTCTGCTGGGCGCAGTGGCTCGCGCTTGTAATCTCAGCACTTTAGGAGGCTGAGGCAGGTGGATCACCTGAAGTCGAGTTCAAGACCAGCCTGGCCAACATGGTGAAACCCTGTCTGTCTACTAAAAATACAAAAATTAGCGGAGCATGATGGTGGGTGCCTATAATTCCAGCTACTCAGGAAGCGGAGGCAGGATAATCACTTGAACCCAGGAGAAGGAGGTTGCAGTGAGCTGAGATTGTGCCTCTGTACTGCAGCCTGGGCGACAGACCCTGTCTCAAAGCAAACTTTTGCACCACCACACCCAGCCAATTTTGGTATTTTTTTGGTAGAGACAGGGTTTTACCGTGTTGCCCAGCTGGGCTTGAAGCCCTCTGCTCAAGCAGTCTGACACTCTGCCTCCCAAAGTGCTGGGATTACAGGCATGAGCCACTACACCCAGCCCTCTTGACTTTTTTTTGATTGGCAGTTGGTTGAAAGAGTTATTAAAAGAAAGGAATGTTGAAGTTACAGTGAGAGGTTGTGGAAGCCAATGTTTTATCATGCAGATGAAGCCTCTGGGTTGGAGGCTTCAGAGAGAGAATAGATTGTTGGGTTTTTTTGAGATGGAATCTGGCTGTCACCAGGCTGTAGTGCAGTGACAGTGATCTCATCACTGCAACCTCTGCCTCCTGGGTTCAATCCGATCCTCCTGCCTCAGCCTCCTGATTACATGGGACTGCAGGTGTGCGCCACCGTGCTCACTTAATTTTCTCGTATTTTTAGCAGAGACGGGTTTTCACTGTGTTGGCGAGGATGGTCTCAATCTCTTGACCTCATGATCCACCCACCTCAGCCTCCCAAAGTGCTGGGATTAGAGGTGTGAGCCACCTGTAACTTAAAGTCAGTGTTGATGTTAAATGCTGGTGAGCTTTTCCTGAATTCCAAAAGGGAGGAGGAGGTAATGAGGCGTGCCTGACTCCCCTCTTCCCATCTTGGCCTGAACCAGTCTTTCAGATGATTGGGAGGCCTTGGGATTTTAATTTTGGTTTGCACAACTTTGAAATTATTTGCATATAACTGGAAGAAAGACTGTTGCTTTAGTTGGTCTGTTCCTTTCTGCTGTGATCAGACACAAAATATCAGCTGTGTTTGCTGCAGAGTTTTTCTGTGGAGTTGCTCCCGAGTGAGAATTATTGTGGAGTTCTGACACTGGCCTCGCCCAGGAGCTCGGACAGCCAGAATCCTCTCCAAGCAGACCTTGGTGCGAATTTAGAAATGGGACTTAGCAGGCAGGGCGCGATGGCTCACGCCTGGAATCCAGCACTTTGGGAAGCCAAGGCAGGTGGATTACCTGAGGTCAGGAGTTCAAGACCAGCCTGGCCAACCTGGTAAAACCCCATCTCTACTAAAAATACAAAAATTAGCCAGGTGTGGTGGTAGGTATCTGTAATCCCAGCTACTTGGGAGGCTGACAGGAGAATTGCTTGAACCCAGGAAGCGAAGTTTGCATCGAGCTGAGATTGTGCCACTGTGCTCCAGCCTGGGTGACAGAGTGAGACTCCGTCTCATAAAAAGAAAAAAAGAAGGAGTTAGATGCTTCATCACTAAGAAACTATTTGAAAGTTTGATTTCAGGACTGGTCGCAGTGGCTCACGCCTGTAATCCTAGCACTTTGGGAGGCCGAGGTGAGTGGATCACCTGAGGTCAGGAGTTCAAGACCAGCCTGGCCATCATGGTGAAACCCTGTCTTTAAAAAAGAAAGAAAGTTTGATTTCAGGGTAAAACAGCTTTTCCGTAGGAAATAAATCATAGCTGTGTCTACCACATTATTTGACCTGCCCCAGTAGAGCCAGTTTTCAAATTCCTGATGCCACGTTTTTCTTTATAGGTTTTTTTCCTGCTGCATTTGTTCTTTTAGCCAATACTGAGTGTTCATCCGTGGAAAAAAACAGACAAAAGCCTCTGTTCTTGGGAAGCTTATAGCTTCCACCCTCTAGCCTAGCATGGGGGAAGAAACACTAAGCAATAAACATGATAAGTAAATTTCCTCTTACTGGGTCTAGGGTTAAGTGCTATGGAAAGAAATAGAGTCATGTTGGAGGCTCGGAGGTGCCCTTGGGTCAGCGTTACTTAGAGGATTGTGGCAAGAGGAAGGTGAGGAACTTTCTGGGCAGAGAGAGTGCCCAGGCAGTGACCCTCGGGCCAGTGTGTTTCCTGGAGAAGGGAGTGGTGGGGTAGAGTCCAGAGCGAGGCACAGGAGGCCGCCACAGAGGTGCTGCCCAGGTGGGGATGCAGGACAGGAAACCTTTCTGTTTATTTGCTTATTTTTTTATTTGTAGGAAAAAAATGGTTTTGTCCATGGGATAAAACTATAAATTCAAAACTTACAGATAAAGGTTAGCTCTGTCACTCATCTCTTTGAAAAGTTTATATGAATATCCAGTGAAAACCAACAACGTATCACCCATGAAATGTTATCCTGACGAATTACCACAGAGACGGCAGGACTGTAGACTGTTTTGGAATGTCCTCAGAAGGCTCTGTCATTGATCAGGTCACAGAGTAAAAACCCCAGCACCCTTTCTTTCAAACGGGAGAGGGACAGAACTGGTTCAAATTTTTTCTTTATGGCTTGTGGTCACCTCTGCCTCCTCAGAAGCCACCTCGCCCTCCAGAGCCTTCCCCGCTTCTGCCCCCACCTCGTCCTCCAGAGCCGCCTCTACCTCTGTCACAACCGCCAAAGGCACCTTCACCGTTAGGGTAGGGCCCGTCCAAGGTACCTTTGTTTCCCTTCATTTCACCATCTTCCATGGACTCCTTGGTGGCTTTGGCATCCTCCTTACTGTCAACATCCACGAAGCGACAGCCTTTGGAGTGCCCAGTTTCCCCGTCAGTGACTATCCTTGCCCAACAGAGCCGTCGAGTGACCAGTGTCTCTTCAGTGGTGTCTTCAGACAGGCCTCTGACAGTTTTCGATGGCTGGCTTCTGGCATGAGGTGATCCTTGCAACTCCAGCCTGATGGCTCTACCCCAATTTCCCTTTTATTACAGGAATTTAAAGCTTTGTATCATCTTCACATGAAGCATACTCTAAATGCATGCATACCCTTTGGACTGGCCGTTGTGTTCTGGGCACTTTGATAAAAGTGGCCTTCTCAGTGCTTCTGACGCGTTTCTTCCGTCACACTGAGCCGGAGTTTTTCATTCATTGCAAGTGCTGCTCTTCCCACCTCTGTAGTGTTGATTTTGACCTTTCTCTCCATCATAGTGCCAGGAAATAGATCACCATCCATCTCTGTTCCCTGTGTTTCTTCAGAGGTTTTCTCTGCATCAGCTTCTGTCTCAACCTCAATGTAAGCAGCGCTTGCCTCTTCCCATCCTTTCTGACTAATCTGATCTCCGCAGCATCATCTTCAAACAGTTCTTTTAATTTGCCCTGAGTGACTCTGTAAGGGAGATCTGTAGCCAAAAGTGTTCTCACATCTTGCTCTTTCTTACTGTCTTTTGGTTTAATTTCATTGCCAAAGTCTTTCAAACCAGTGAGTCCCAAGGCTTTTTCCAGGTCTTCAGCAGATTCAAAATCCACAGAGCCAAATTCCTAGTCATACCAGTTCTGACAGCCACAGCAGCAAGATCATTTTTGGCAAAAATATCATGGCTACTGGTTGTTCTTGTTGTTTTTTGAGATAGAGTCTTGCTCTGTTGTCCAGGCTGGAGTGCAGTGGCGCAATCTCGGCTCACGACAACCTCCGCCTCCCGGATTCAAGCAATGCTCCCTCCTCAGCCTCCCCAGTAGCTGGGACTACAGGCGCACGCCAGCATGCCAGGCTAATTTTTGTATTTTTATTAGAGACAGGGTTTTACCATGTTGGCCAGGCTGGTCTCAAACTCCTGACCTCATGATCCGTCTGTCTCAGCCTCCCAAAGTGCTGGGATTACAGGTGTGAGCCACCGCACCTGGCCCTGGATACTAGTTTTTAACTCAGGAGCAGATTTGTTAAAGTTCAGGTTTTCAACAAAGTTTGGAAGACATTCCAGCCTGGCCAACGTGGTGAAACCCGATCACTATTGAAAATACAAAAATTAGGCCGGGCACGGTGGCTCAAGCCTGTAATCCCAGCACTGTGGGAGGCCGAGGCGGGTGGATCATGAGGTCAAGAGATCGAGACCATCCTGGTCAACCTCCGTCTCAAAAAAAAAAAAGGAAAATACAAAAATTATCTGGGTGGCAGTAGTGCACGCCTGTAATCCCTGCCATTCGGGAGGCTGAGGCAGGAGAATCGCTTGAGCCTGGGCGGCAAAGGTGGCGGTGAGCTGACATTGTGCCACTGCACTCCAGCAGTCTGGTCGAGAGAGTAAGACCCTGTTTTTAAAAAAAAAAAAAAGACGCGGTTGGTTATGTGCCTTTCACTTTCTGTTTCTTTGCTTCAGAAGCTGCTGTTTGGTCATTTGTTTCCTTCATTTTCCAGGTGCTTCTTTGACAGACTCTTCCTCCTCCTCTTCATCATCTTCATCCTCTCCATCGACGTCGCCACCCTCTTCATCGTCATTCTCAGCCATGCTTTTGGCTTTCACAGGAACAGCTTTTGTAGACGTTTTCCTTCCTGTGGCTGGCGTGGTCTCCATAGCTGCTGCTTCAGCACCATCTCCCTTGGCATCATCCTCATCGTCCTCGTCCTCATTCTCTGGGGCAGGGGCACCGCTGCTGCTTTCATCACTGCTGGCTCAGATTCATCCCCCTCGTCACTGTCTTCCTTGGCGTTCCTGCCATTCTTTGCCCCCCTGGCTGGGGTGCTCCCTCCTTACCAGGAGCTACTGCCAATGCCTTCCCTGGTGTGGCTCCCTTCTTGCCAGGTGTGGCGACTGCTTTGCCTGGAGTGACAGCTGCTTTCTTGGCGGGTGTGGCACCTGCAGCCTTTCTTGTTGGGGAAATTGCCGCCTCCTTTGCTGAGTTGCAGCAGCCTTCTTGCCATTCTCCCGAGATGTCACAGCCTCTTCTCCACGGCTGTCATCTTCTGACATTTCCTCATCTTTACTTTCTTCTTCTGCCTCCTTTGGGGTAGCAGCCATTTTCCGGGGTCACCTTGGTTTTTACCTGCCTCTCCAACTAAGTAGTCCGAAGCCACTAAGGTTGGGAAATCTTTGCAGGTGCGGGTTGGGAGAGCAGCAGGTTGTGGACCAGCTGCCCCACAGGCTGTCACGGTCAGGAGGTGGCTGGGCCCTGGTAGTGGGCCCAGTAGGAGATGCTGGCAGCACCGCGAGAGGGCCTGGTTGGGAGTTAAGCCTTCGTGTATCTGAGATAAATCACAAGCTCTTCTTGGTATGAAAATGTAAGAAAATGACTCCGCATCTTGCAGGAAACTGTGGGAATGTGAAGGAGTTAAATGGAATCAGGGTAAGAAGGGCTGAGGGCCTCACATAGAGCTCTGTGTTTTCTGCATTGGAAATTCTCAAAGAAGCTCAAAAGAGAGACTGTTCACAGCCCATTTAGTAAAAGCACAGGTTGACCATGCGCTGAAGTACAGGGCTTAGTGTTTCTCGGACCAATCCTGAAGGTCTTCCAGGTGAATCACTTACTCAGATTATTCCAGGCAACATTTAAGACTCTGAGATTAAGCCTAAAAAAAGAAAACAAAACCTAAGATCAAGGAACCAGCGGGAGAAAAAAAAAGGTTCTGAAATTGATTTGATTTTTTTTTTTTTTTTTTGAGGTAGGGTCTTGCTCTTTTGCCCGAACTGGAGTGCAGTAG